TATTAAATTACCTCTATACAGCCTCTATACAGCCACTATACGTCCTTACTACGGCCAGCATACGGTCTCTATTAAATAACCTCTATACAGCCTCTATACAGCCACTATACGTCCTTGATACGGCCACCATACGGTCTCTATTAAATTACCTCTATACAGCCACGATACAGCCACTATACGTCCTTGATACGGCCACCATACGGTCTCTATTAAATTACCTCTATACAGCCACGATACAGCCACTATACGTCCTTGATACGGCCAGCATACGGTCTCTATTAAATTACCTCTATACAGCCTCTATACAGCCACTATACGTCCTTGATACGGCCAGCATACGGTCTCTATTAAATTACCTCTATACAGCCTCTATACAGCCTCTATACAGCCACTATACGTCCTTGATACGGCCAGCATACGGTCTCTATTAAATTACCTCTATACAGCCTCTATACAGCCACTATACGTCCTTAATACGGCCAGCATACGGTCTCTATTAAATTACCTCTATACAGCCACGATACAGCCACTATACGTCCTTGATACGGCCAGCATACAGTCTCTATTAAATTACCTCTATACAGCCTCTATACAGCCACTATACGTCCTTGATACGGCCAGCATACGGTCTCTATTAAATTACCTCTTTACAGCCACGACACAGCCACTATACGTCCTTGATACGGCCACCATACGGTCTCTATTAAATAACCTCTATACAGCCTCTATACAGCCACTATACGTCCTTGATACGGCCAGCATACGGTCTCTATTAAATTACCTCTATACAGCCACGATACAGCCACTATACGTCCTTGATACGACCACCATACGGTCTCTATTAAATTACCTCTATACAGCCTCTATACAGCCTCTATACAGCCACTATACGTCCTTAATACGGCCAGCATACGGTCTCTATTAAATTACCTCTATACAGCCACGATACAGCCACTATACGTCCTTGATACGACCACCATACGGTCTCTATTAAATTACCTCTATACAGCCACGATACAGCCACTATACGTCCTTGATACGGCCAGCATACGGTCTCTATTAAATTACCTCTATACAGCCACGATACAGCCACTATACGTCCTTGATACGGCCAGCATACGGTCTCTATTAAATTACCTCTATACAGCCACGATACAGCCACTATACGTCCTTGATACGGCCAGCATACGGTCTCTATTAAATTACCTCTATACAGCCAGGATACAGCCACTATACGTCCTTGATACGGCCACCATACGGTCTCTATTAAATTACCTCTATACAGCCACGGTACAACCACTATACGTCCTTGATACGGCCAGCATACGGTCTCTATTAAATTACCTCTATACAGCCACGATACAGCCGCTATACGTCCTTGATACGGCCAGCATACGGTCTCTATTAAATTACCTCTATACAGCCACGATACAGCCACTATACGTCCTTAATACGGCCAGCATACGGTCTCTATTAAATTACCTCTATACAGCCTCTATACAGCCACTATACGTCCTTGATACAGCCACCATACGGTCTCTATTAAATAACCTCTTTACAGCCACGATACAGCCACTATACGTCCTTAATACGGCCAGCATACGGTCTCTATTAAATAACCTCTATACAGCCTCTATACAGCCACTATACGTCCTTAATACGACCACCATACGGTCTCTATTAAATTACCTCTATACAGCCACGATACAGCCACTATACGTCCTTAATACAGCCACCATACGGTCTCTATTAAATTACCTCTATACAGCCTCTATACAGCCACTATACGTCCTTAATACGGCCACCATACGGTCTCTATTAAACAGCCTCTTTACAGCCACGATACAGCCACTATACGGTCTTGATACGGCCACCATACGGTCTCTATTAAATAACCTCTATACAGCCACGATACAGCCACTATACGTCCTTGATACGGCCACCATACGGTCTCTATTAAATTACCTCTATACAGCCACGATAAAGCCACTATACGGCCTTGATACAGCCACCATACGGTCTCTATTAAATTACCTCTATACAGCCACGGTACAACCACTATACGTCCTTGATACGGCCACCATACGGTCTCTATTAAATTACCTCTATACAGCCTCTATACAGCCACTATACGTCCTTGATACGGCCAGCATACGGTCTCTATTAAATTACCTCTATACAGCCTCTATACAGCCACTTTACGGCCTTGATACGGCCAGCATACGGTCTCTATTAAATTACCTCTATACAGCCACGATACAGCCACTATACGTCCTTGATACGACCACCATACGGTCTCTATTAAATTACCTCTATACAGCCTCTATACAGCCTCTATACAGCCACTATACGTCCTTGATACGACCACCATACGGTCTCTATTAAATTACCTCTATACAGCCACGATACAGCCACTATACGTCCTTGATACGGCCACCATACGGTCTCTATTAAATTACCTCTATACAGCCACGACACAGCCACTATACGTCCTTGATACGGCCACCATACGGTCTCTATTAAATTACCTCTATATAGCCTCTATACAGCCACTATACGTCCTTGATACGGCCAGCATACGGTCTCTATTAAATTACCTCTATACAGCCACGATACAGCCACTATACGTCCTTGATACGGCCAGCATACGGTCTCTATTAAATTACCTCTATACAGCCTCTATACAGCCACTATACGTCCTTGATACGACCACCATACGGTCTCTATTAAATTACCTCTATACAGCCACGATACAGCCACTATACGTCCTTGATACGGCCACCATACGGTCTCTATTAAATTACCTCTATACAGCCACGACACAGCCACTATACGTCCTTGATACGGCCACCATACGGTCTCTATTAAATTACCTCTATACAGCCTCTATACAGCCACTATACGTCCTTGATACGGCCACCATACGGTCTCTATTAAATTACCTTTATACAGCCACGATACAGCCACTATACGTCCTTGATACGGCCAGCATACGGTCTCTATTAAATTACCTCTATACAGCCACGATACAGCCACTATACGTCCTTGATACGGCCACCATACGGTCTCTATTAAATTACCTCTATACAGCCACGACACAGCCACTATACGTCCTTGATACGGCCAGCATACGGTCTCTATTAAATTACCTCTATACAGCCACGATACAGCCACTATACGTCCTTGATACGGCCACCATACGGTCTCTATTAAACAGCCTCTATACAGCCTCTATACGTCCTTGATACGGCCACCATACGGTCTCTATTAAATTACCTCTATACAGCCACGATACAGCCACTATACGTCCTTGATACGGCCACCATACGGTCTCTATTAAACGGCCTCTATACAGCCACGATACAGCCACTATACGTCCTTGATACGGCCAGCATACGGTCTCTATTAAATTACCTTTATACAGCCACGATACAGCCACTATACGTCCTTGATACGGCCAGCATACGGTCTCTATTAAATTACCTCTATACAGCCACGATACAGCCACTATACGTCCTTGATACGGCCACCATACGGTCTCTATTAAATTACCTCTATACAGCCACGACACAGCCACTATACGTCCTTGATACGGCCACCATACGGTCTCTATTAAATAACCTCTATACAGCTACTATACGTCCTTGATACGACCACCATACGGTCTCTATTAAACAGCCTCTATACAGCCTCTATACGTCCTTGATACGGCCACCATACGGTCTCTATTAAATTACCTCTATACAGCCACGATACAGCCACTATACGTCCTTGATACGGCCACCATACGGTCTCTATTAAATTACCTCTATACAGCCACGACACAGCCACTATACGTCCTTGATACGGCCACCATACGGTCTCTATTAAATTACCTCTATACAGCCACGATACAGCCACTATACGGTCTTGATACGGCCACCATACGGTCTCTATTAAACGGATTCTATACAGCCGCAATACGGCCACGATACAGCCGCTATACGGCCTTGATACAGCCACCATACGGTCTCTATTAAACGGCCCCTTGTAGTGTATCTTTTGTTGAAGCAGTATTATTTATTCTTAACTTTATATTGCGCTCTATTACCTTGCCAGAGAGCTGAAACCCTATCTGTTTGGCTGGCAATTATGTAGCTGTTGCTACGATAATGCCTGAGCTCTCATGTTAGATCCATTGTAGGGTATATACGCGCCCTCCAAACAGGAAGTGTATGAACTCATGCATCACAGAGCTAGTGGTATTGGATAATTGAGCTCAGTTCTTCTAAGGCTTTTTGAAGTTAGTCACTTGTCCTAAACAGAGTTCTGTGCACCTTGCAAACTTAGCTCTTGGTGACTCCCTGCCAGTGGGTTTATGAACAGGGGTGTTGCCATGAGAGATTCCGACTGGGAACTCTGACAATGTTGAACGATTGTTCATGCTATTCCTTTTGATGAAGTTCACGAGTCCTTAATTATTTTATTATTACTATTATTTAATTATTTGAACTGTTCAAGTCTTTCTTGACTAAATCAAAGATACTAAAGACAAAGTAAAGTGCACAACCACAAGTTAAACCTTGTAGATGTAAGATTGACCACAAGGACGAACCTGGGAAAACAACTGAACACTGGGCAGTGTCTTTAAGGCAACTCTTACTTACTACACTCTATACAGCCACAATACGGCAACGATACAGCTACTATATGGCCTTGATACGGCCACCATTGACCATACGGTCTCTATTAAACGGCCTTTATACAGCCACGATACAGCCACTATAAGGCCTCGATACGTCCACCATACGGTCTCTATTAAATGACCTCTATACAGCCACGATACAGCTACTATATGGCCTTGATACGGCCACCATACGGTCTCTATTAAACGGCCTCTATACAGAGGCCTCTATATTATATTTAATTTCCTTAAAATTAATCAACCAATTATACAACTAATTAAGAACGAATACTGAGGGAAGATTGAGTTATCTGAACACTGTAAAATATTCACAAACCTGATAATATAGCTGGTAGTATAGAGTCTTCACAGGATTGACTAAAGTTAGGAAGTAGTTTCTTGAATAAGTTGTTATGATCTTCTACTTCTGTTCACTGAAATCTGATACACTCCACGTGAGTTTTCTAAACTTATAGATTTAACTTTAAAATAGCGTGCTGGCTGTTGTATTATTAAATGATACTAATATATTAAATTTCCTTAAAATTAATCAACCAATTAAACAACTAATTAAGAACGAATACTGAGGGAAGATTGAGTTATGTGAACACTGTAAAATATTCACAAACCTGATAATATAGCTGGTAGTATAGAGTCTTCACAGGATTGACTAAAGTTAGGAAGTAGTCTCTTGAATAAGTCGTTATGACCCTTTACTTCCGTTCACTGAAATCTGATATACTCCACGTGAGTTTTCTAATCTTATAGTTTTAACTTTGAAGTAGCGTGCTGGCTGTTGTATTATTAAATGATACTAATATATTAAATTTCCTTAAAATTAATCAACCAATTAAACAACTAATTAAGAACGAATACTGAGGGAAGATTGAGTTATCTGAACACTGTAAAATATTCACAAACCTGATAATATAGCTGGTAGTATAGAGTCTTCACAGGATTGACTAAAGTTAGGAAGTAGTTTCTTGAATAAGTCGTTATGATCTTCTACTTCTGTTCACCGAAATCTGATATACTCCACGTGAGTTTTCTAAACTTATAGTTTTAACTTTGAAATAGCGTGCTGGCTGTTGTATTATTAAATGATACTTCAAATTAATCAACCAATTAATTAACTAATTAAGAACCAATATGGAAGGAAAATGTAGTTATGTGAACACTGTAAAACATTGACAAACCTGATAATATAGCTGGTAGTATAGAGTCTTCACAGGATTGACTAAAGTTAGGAAGTAGTTTCTTGAATAAGTCGTTATGATCTTCTACTTCTGTTCACTGAAATCTGATATACCCCACGTAAGTTTTCTAAACTTATAGTTTTAACTTTAAAATAGCGTGCTGGCTGTTGTATTATTAAATGATACTAATATATTAAATTTCCTTCAAATTAATCAACCAATTAATTAACTAATTAAGAACCAATATGGAAGGAAAATATAGTTATGTGAACACTGTAAAACATCCACAAATTTAGTTATGTAAAACATCCACAAACCTGATATAACCTTGGGCCGGGTAGGATAGAGCCTTCGCAAGATATAGCTCACAATAAGGATTTAGGAAATAGTCTTCTTCTCAGAATCGTATTTTAAATGTTTCTTTAATTCAGCCACTGAAAAAATACTGCTTTCAATAAACAACGGTACTCAAAAATTGAAGTAGGAACATATCACAAGTTATGATGGCTGTTATAGCTTCCCTTAGCTTTCCGTTTATTGTTTAGATATAATCCTAGCTTAAAATCAGCCTTGGTTTTACTTTCATTATGTTGTTGATCGCTTATTACTTATGTATTTCATGATAAAAACTACTATTATATACATTATACAAACTAGGCCAAAAATATATATGAGTTTTATAACTTGGCAACAACGTTTACGTTAATATAAAACTTCCATGTACCTGCCAAAACGTTATATAAATGTTTCGCCGACAAAGATGCGTCGATTAAAACAAGTTTACAAATCACTAATCAGGCCGGGTTCAGTGTAAGCTTATACGAAATCAAAAGGATTAAAGCTGAGTAACAACGAACTCTCCTCAACAAATTATTTGTGGATGTAGATTCTGCAGCTACAACTGCGGAAGACCATGATCTAATGAGTCACGTGCACTTCATGTGACCCGTTGGAGAGTGCTTTGGCTATTGAGTTACATATCACGAGGTTAGATAACGTGCCATTTCATTAGATCACTGCGGTCGCCGCGCGGTGTTATATTACTGAACAGTGCTCTCTCTTCAACATGTTGTCAAAGCCTGAAGGAAGTTATTATGGCCTGGTGGGGAGGGGACTGTTATACTCAACTCACAATTTTGTTTTATCATGTCACTATACAGTCATGGTGTAAAGATAAAGTTACAATTTACGGGGGAGGGGCCCTCTGTAGCTCTTCCTGATTGTGTCTTTTAATTACACCCTGAAGTTATCAGGATGGATCAGGGATGTATAATGTATATACATAACATTTATAACAAGTATTCAGCAGATTATTTTCCAAAACAAAATTAGTTATGATGAGGATTGAACAAGATGTGTTGCAGTGGTATTATATTTATTATATACAGTTTATTAAGCATCAACATATGCTTAACTTGAATAGCAAGCTAGTAGACGGCTGTGATATTTTCGGTACAGATTTCACTACAACGATAGACGCAAACCCATACATAATACATAATATATACACATTATATATACATAATAATATGTACATTCATGTTCGCAGCTGTAATGAGGGCCACTATAATACAAATTAATCACACCATGGTTTGGTGAATGATTAAAAGTCTACTACCGGGGTCTTATCGTGGATTTAAGGGGAGATACACCAAAAACGTTTTTGCCCCGAACATCAATTTTATTTTATATTATGGTTAAATAGACAAAAAGAATAAGATTGCACACCTTCAAAATTTTCTAAAAATATTCCCTCATCGAGAAGAAAAATATTTTTCTTTTTCGAAAATTTTTAAAATTTGGAGAAGTCTACCACTGTAATACCGATAGTTCGGCCAGTTTAAAAGTTTTTTGGCTGATTTTTTTACTGAACATTCCTTACACTCCGTACAGGACAACCCTTTAAAGGATTATATAATAGAACGATAAATGACCAAGTTACAGACCAAACTAGGTAAAAAAAGAAAAATTGGGATTTTTGCCTACCACCAAAGTTGTACATTTTACCACTCGCCCAGGTCATCAGATATCGCTTCTAAAATTCTTGTGAGTGTAGCTGATGATCATATCAAACTTTTTGGAACAGGATTTTTCTCAGTTTTGAGTTTTAAGGTATGAAATGTGGCCTCAAACGACTTAGTAAAATTCATCGTAAAAAAGGGCCAAACATGGCAGATTTGAGGCTTAAAATGCCTATTACTCAAAAAGTATCAGTTTTTTTGAAATAATTTCTACAGGATCGTAATCAGCTTGGTAAGACGAATCTTTTAATACCAAATTTATAATAGTTTAAGACACAAAATTTGTAAAAAATGTGTACAATTTGTACACAATTTATACAAGGGGGGACCCTTGTGTTCGAGCTGGAAAATTATTTAAGACAATTTGTCTTCTAAAATCACCTATTTGGTACTAAAAGATTCGTCTTCTCAAGCTGATTACGATTCTGTAAAAATTATTTCAAAAAACTGATACTTTTTGAGTAATAGGCATTTTAAGCCTTAAATCTGCTATGTTTGGCCCTTTTTACGATGAATTTTACTAAGTCGTTTGAGGCCACATTTCATACCTTAAAACTCAAAACTGAGAAAAATCCTGTTCCAAAAAGTTTGATATGATCATCAGCTACACTCACAAGAATTTTAGAAGCGATATCTGATGACCTGGGCGAGTGGTAAAATGTACAACTTTGGTGGTAGGCAAAAATCCCAATTTTTCTTTTTTTACCTAGTTTGGTCTGTAACTTAGTCATTTATCGTTCTATTATATAATCCTTTAAAGGGTTGTCCTGTACGGAGTGTAAGGAATGTTCAGTAAAAAAATCAGCCAAAAAACTTTTAAACTGGCCGAACTATCGGTATTACAGTGACAGACTTCTCCAAATTTTAAAAATTTTCGAAAAAGAAAAATATTTTTTTCTCGATGAGGGAATATTTTTAAAAAATTTTGAAGGTGTGCAATCTTATTCTTTTTGTCTATTTAACCATAATATGAAATAAAATCGATGTTCGGAGCAAAAACGTTTTTGGTGTATCTCCCCTTAAATCTTACTATCAAGTTGTTTTAGTCATAAAGTTTGTTCTCCAACTTGCGGATGCCGGATTCTAACTTAAGTCAGTGTAGTAACTCTAATGAACTCTTAGTGAAACTCAAATTTAAAGAATAAATTAATTTTCATATTACTGTTGCCATTCTGCCGTCGACACAAGCTAGTCCGACCTGGAATAGCATTTACATTCATGAATATTGAATACAGATTCTTAATTAACTACTTGTCTTCTTTAACTCTTTATTAATCAGTGCAGGCTATGACTTGGGCTGAATTTGGTTTACGTGATTGTGATAGTAAGGGACCCGCTATGACAGCTAAGACACCTAATATACAGCCATTGTAAATATAGTGAACGATCTATCCCTGTTCCAAACATGTGAACCAACTTCGGCCGAAGTTTAACATTGGCCGAATTTAGCTATATCTTGGTTGATACAGTTCTCTGTTATATTATAGAGGTGTAATCTTTATATCTCTTTCAGAACGGAGGGAACTTGGGTCTGGACTCTGGGACCATTACTAAAACCTTATTACAACTTTACAACGGGTATCACGCAGTGAACACTGAACAGGATACGTGGGGTCACATGACGTAATGAGGTTGCCATGACGTCACTAGGTCTGCACGAAGTTTTTATGACGTAACCTAACTTTACAATTATGTTATCTTACAGCGGAACCTGAAAATAATATTATGAATTTTAATAAAAATGATGATTAATGTTCCCGTAATTTCTAAGAGTGTACGCTTAAAATATAAAGGATTATTCTGGAAGAGAGCCGAGATATCTGGTGAGAATAATCCAAGCCATTAGCTGTTATGATCCTCATAGCCAATATCCATTCTGTGACTGTGTGTTGACAGAAGATCCGAAAAGAATTGAGAACTTTGTGTGGATTACTGTGAAATCCAGCGCTAAGAAAATGTATTTCTACCAAGGTTCTCTAATATTAGTATATTACCTCAAAAACCTTATTTTTGTCAAATCTCTGGCCCTTATCTTTATTTATAATTTATCTTATTTTTATCTTTATTGTCATGAGCCAAAAATGTTGAATATTGAAAATGAGAAGTTACAGTGCCACTTGCTAAAAAAATTGTACCTGGGGACCCCAGGCTATTATGTTCATAAACATAATAAAGATTCGGCGGAATGACAGGCTGAGCGCCGCCCAGTAAGAAAAATTATGTTAATCAGCATATTAATTTTACTTTACACAGTATGAAAGGTTCCTAGCTGACCATACTTAAAAATAACTTAAGATAACGAAGTATTCACCTATAGTTTCGTAGATGAAGCTGTAATATTAAATATTCCAAACCGGAATCTTATCTTTATCTTTATTGGCTGAGCCAAAAACCATACGACCATATTTAGTTAGTTGCTAGTTAGTTAGTTGCTAGTTACAATGGTAACACTGCTTGAGATCAAGCTTACTCTGTACATAATTCTCTGTGTCTGGTTAGTGGCAGTGTATTTGTAATGATACGGACTGTACAATAAGTACAGTGTACAGTTTGTACTCTGTGTCTGGTTAGTGGCAGTGTATTTGTAATGATACGGTCTGTACAATAAGTACAGTGTACAGTTTGTACTCTGTGTCTGGTTAGTGGCAGTGTATTTGTAATGATACGGTCTGTACAATAAGTACAGTGTACAGTTTGTACTCTGTGTCTGGTTAGTGGCAGTGTATTTGTAATGATACGGACTGTACAATAAGTACAGTGTACAGTTTGTACTCTGTGTCTGGTTAGTGGCAGTGTATTTGTAATGATACGGTCTGTACAATAAGTACAGTGTACAGTTTGTACTCTGTGTCTGGTTAGTGGCAGTGTATTTGTAATGATACGGACTGTACAATAAGTACAGTGTACAGTTTGTACTCTGTGTCTGGTTAGTGGCAGTGTATTTGTAATGATACGGACTGTACAATAAGTACAGTGTACAGTTTGTACTCTGTGACTGGTTAGTGGCAGTGTATTTGTAATGATACGGACTGTACAATAAGTACAGTGTACAGTTTGTACTCTGTGTCTGGTTAGTGGCAGTGTATTTGTAATGATACGGACTGTACAATAAGTACAGTGTACAGTTTGTACTCTGTGTCTGGTTAGTGGCAGTGTATTTGTAATGATACGGACTGTACAATAAGTACAGTGTACAGTTTGTACTCTGTGTCTGGTTAGTGGCAGTGTATTTGTAATGATACGGACTGTACAATAAGTACAGTGTACAGTTTGTACTCTGTGTCTGGTTAGTGGCAGTGTATTTGTAATGATAAGGTCTGTACAATAAGTACAGTGTACAGTTTGTACTCTGTGTCTGGTTAGTGGCAGTGTATTTGTAATGATACGGACTGTACAATAAGTACAGTGTACAGTTTGTACTCTCCACTGTGTGGAGACAGTGTACTCATACTTTGTATGAAGCCTATAAATAGAAATGTGGTAAGCTCTGTGCTTGTTCACTGTCAAACAATTACAAAGCAGATAACATGTGGTGCTAGATGGAATCTTAAGATCAGTTTAACAATGTTTACAGTTTCTTATCAGCAGGTTGTTAGAATGGTAACTAGTGGTGTAACTATGGTAACACAGCTAGGATCAGGGTTAGAGTCTGGAGAAGGACTAATAAATATTATGATTAATGTAATTTAATACAGGGGAATATTCCTGGATGAATATGTGGCACATTTCTTAAGAATGTTCCATAATATTACTCATTAGGTTATTGTGCAGCACGATTTGTAGAACAATCGAGAACGTTCTAGAAGCTTCCTCGGGCCTGAGTGGCTGAGATAATAAGTTCTAGTAATGTATAAGATCAAAGAATATTGAAAGTAACATTTTTGTTAGCTACGATCCCGGTCCCAATCCCGGTCTTATTCCCGGTCCCGGTCTTATTCCCGATCCCGGCTTAATCCCGGTCCCGGCAATTTTTTCCAGTCCCGGTCCCGGCCAAAAAAGCGGTTCTGGTCGATCCTTGGTGCTAATTGTTGATCACCTGTCATTGATCTGATTTGTCATAAATTCTTACGCTTCTTTTCACTTTATGTATTGCTTTAATGCCAGCTGTAATACATATATCTAAGCGAGCAAAATGAATGATTTATACACTTTTCGTTCTGGCACTTTTTGATGTGGAACTGTTCAATGTTCATTTTCCGATCTCGTTTGCAGGGTGGCCCAGAAATAACTGCCCACAGATTGGGCGACATCTGTCCGACAGCAACAACTGTCCGACAGCCGAATTAGGGATTTTGGACAGATGTCGCTGTCGGACAGGAGTCCTTTTTGGCGAAATCAGTCCGAATTTTTGTAATCTCGGATCCCATTCGTATCACATACCCTATAAGTGATCCATTGAGATCTGATCCATCGATACGTGATTGACTATTTGAGGAGACAGGATCGTGCTCCCTCCCTCCCTCCCTCCCTACCTCCCTCCCTCCCTCCCTCCCTCCCTCCCTCCCTCCCTCCCTCCCTCCCTCCCTTCCTCCCTCCCTCCCTCCCTCCCTCCCTCCCTCCCTCCCTCCCTCCCTCCCTCCCTCCCTCCCTCCCTCTCTCCCTCTCTCTCTCAATTCTAGTTAGATTTGATGAGATTTCAAACATGTTCAAAAAATTCCAAATTATCTTTAAAAATAATATAAACCGTTAATGTATGAATTTCATTTACAAAGCGGAAATGTGAGGAATCGAATACGAATACCATATTATCATCCAGTTTTTCAAAAGCGTACAATACTTTTTAGCCCTTTAAAATGAACAGTTACGAAATTTTCTCAGTTTTTTAAAAGAAGCGTATTAAATTAAATTTGAAAAAAACACTAGAATTTAGTTAGATAACTATTAGTATCAAACTGTTATCCAATTATTTAATAATCCCGACCGACAAAGACGTAAGGTTTATTTAGTCGTGCTGTAAACACCCAGTCCAGTCTCCCAACCAGCCCTTCTTCAACCTCCCCGTCTGCCTGGAGAGATATTCAATATTAGCAGGTTACATCTGGTTACTAGGTTACTGTCTGGTAACTAGGTTACCAACCAGCCCTTCTTCAACCTCCCAGTCTGCCTGGAGAGATATTTAATATTAGCAGGTTACATCTGGTTACTAGGTTACTGTCTGGTTACTAGGTTACCTGGTTACCAACCAGCCCTTCCTCAACCTCCCCGTCTGCCTGGAGAGATATTTAATATTAGCAGGTTACATCTGGTTACTTGGTTACTATCTGGTTACTAGGTTACTATCTGGTTACTAGGTTACCAACCAGTCCTTCCTCAACCTCCCCGTCTGCCTGGAGAGATATTTAATATAAGCAGGTTACATCTGGTTACTAGGTTACTATCTGGTTATTAGGTTACCAACCAGCCCTTCCTCAACCTCCTCGTATGCCTGGAGAGATATTAAATATAAGCAGGTTACATCTGGTTACTAGGTTACTATCTGGTTACTAGGTTACCAACCAGCCCTTCCTCAACCTCCTCGTATGCCTGGAGAGATATTTAATATAACTATAAGCAGGTTACATCTGGTTACTAGGTTACTATCTGGTTACTAGGTTACCAACCAGCCCTTCCTCAACCTCCTCGTATGCCTGGTAAGATATTTAATATAACTATAAGCAGGTTACAGATCTGGTTTGACGCATGATTATCGTCCAAATTTCGTCGAAGTAGCACGCACCGGGTAAGTCCATTAGCAATCGAAGCACTTAATCATTTGGCAAAAAGTTAACTTTATCCGTCAAATTTAGTCAAAAATGTAAAATTTCGGCCCTGGAAATTTCATCTTCAAAAACCGAAAATTGGACAGAGATTGGGATAATATGATTTTGCAATTTTTTTCGGGATTTCGACTACCAGTGCCTCAATTTGGTTTCATACCGTCATCAATTAACTAACTAATTCGTTTCTGGGCAGAAATTTCATCCAATCTGTCAAATTTGGGTTCAGAAAATTTAATATTTGAAAATGGGACAGACTTTTGAAAATACAACTTTTCGTTTTGTTAAGCTTATTGCTGTGGGCTTTCTCCGACCGAAATTAAACTTCCAGCACGTCATTCGTGCTATATTAAAGTCACTATTGTGACGGTACATTAGAACTGTGCCATCTTTAGTTGACTTAATAATTGGATGATGATGAAAAAGTCAGCCAAAACTGTAAATATGAAAGTTTAATTTTCATATTCAAAAACCGAAAATGGGACAGAGATTGGGACACCGACAATATGATTTTGCAATTTCATTCGGAAAACAAAATTAACATTTCCAGCCGTCCAACAGTACATGAGTAATTTAGTGTGTTACCACGGTTACATACGCTGTACAAAATGTAAACAGTAGGGGCTCTTTTAGTTTTTTAACCCTTTGGGTTTTGTGAAATGTTAGAACTTCAAAACATGCAACAATAACTTAATTTAGTCAAAGTAAGCTCAGTTTTTACTCATTACTTCTGAAGGGTTGCTCAGGATCCTTGGATATATGAAGAGGAGTACTGAGAAGAAGACAACAATTCCAAATACAACTTGTCCCAAAGCTAGCTGTTCTCCGCTGTACACTCCTGTAATTTAGTGTGTTACCATGGTTACTGTACTATTTGTCAAGTATCTTATCAAGATATTATACACTACTCGTCAACAGGCAACGTTAAATATCTTATTCTAAAATTTCCAATAAGCGTCTTCGTATAGATCTCCCTAGCAACGCTTATTATTCTCACTTGGTAACCAGTCTTGTAGTGAACAGTAACTATGGTAACCAGTCTTATATTCTCACTTGGTAACCAGTCTTGTAGTGAACAGTAACTATGGTAACCAGTCTTATATTCTCACTTGGTAACCAGTCTTATAGTGAACAGTAACTATGGTAACCAGTCTTATATTCTCACTTGGTAACCAGTCTTGTAGTGAACAGTAACTATGGTAACCAGTCTTATATTCTCACTTGGTAACCAGTCTTATAGTGAACAGTAACTATGGTAACCAGTCTTATATTCTCACTTGGTAACCAGTCTTGTAGTGAACAGTAACTATGGTAACCAGTCTTATATTCTCACTTGGTAACCAGTCTTGTAGTGAACAGTAACTATGGTAACCAGTCTTATATTCTCACTTGGTAACCAGTCTTGTAGTGAACAGTAACTATGGTAACCAGTCTTATATTCTCACTTGGTAACCAGTCTTATAGTGAACAGTAACTATGGTAACCAGTCTTATATTCTCACTTGGTAACCAGTCTTGTAGTGAACAGTAACTATGGTAACCAGTCTTATATTCTCACTTGGTAACCAGTCTTATAGTGAACAGTAACTATGGTAACCAGTCTTATATTCTCACTTGGTAACCAGTCTTGTAGTGAACAGTAACTATGGTAACCAGTCTTATATTCTCACTTGGTAACCAGTCTTGTAGTGAACAGTAACTATGGTAACCAGTCTTATATTCTCACTTGGTAACCAGTCTTGTAGTGAACAGTAACTATGGTAACCAGTCTTATATTCTCACTTGGTAACCAGTCTTGTAGTGAACAGTAACTATGGTAACCAGTCTTATATTCTCACTTGGTAACCAGTCTTGTAGTGAACAGTAACTATGGTAACCAGTCTTATATTCTCACTTGGTAACCAGTCTTGTAGTGAACAGTAACTATGGTAACCAGTCTTATATTCTCACTTGGTAACCAGTCTTGTAGTGAACAGTAACTATGGTAACCAGTCTTATATTCTCACTTGGTAACCAGTCTTGTAGTGAACAGTAACTATGGTAACCAGTCTTATATTCTCACTTGGTAACCAGTCTTGTAGTGAACAGTAACTATGGTAACCAGTCTTATATTCTCACTTGGTAACCAGTCTTGTAGTGAACAGTAACTATGGTAACCAGTCTTATATTCTCACTTGGTAACCAGTCTTGTAGTGAACAGTAACTATGGTAACCAGTCTTATATTCTCACTTGGTAACCAGTCTTGTAGTGAACAGTAACTATGGTAACCAGTCTTATATTCTCACTTGGTAACCAGTCTTGTAGTGAACAGTAACTATGGTAACCAGTTTTATATTCTCACTTGGTAACCAGTCTTGTAGTGAACAGTAACTATGGTAACCAGTCTTATATTCTCACTTGGTAACCAGTCTTGTAGTGAACAGTAACTATGGTAACCAGTCTTATATTCTCACTTGGTAACCAGTCTTGTAGTGAACAGTAACTATGGTAACCAGTCTTATATTCTCACTTGGTAACCAGTCTTGTAGTGAACAGTAACTATGGTAACCAGTCTTATATTCTCACTTGGTAACCAGTCTTGTAGTGAACAGTAACTATGGTAACCAGTCTTATATTCTCACTTGGTAACCAGTCTTGTAGTGAACAGTAACTATGGTAACCAGTCTTATATTCTCACTTGGTAACCAGTCTTGTAGTGAACAGTAACTATGGTAACCAGTCTTATATTCTCACTTGGTAACCAGTCTTGTAGTGAACAGTAACTATGGTATCCAGTTTTATATTCTCACTTGGTAACCAGTCTTGTAGTGAACAGTAACTATGGTAACCAGTCTTATATTCTCACTTGGTAACCAGTCTTGTAGTGAACAGTAACTATGGTAACCAGTCTTATATTCTCACTTGGTAACCAGTCTTGTAGTGAACAGTAACTATGGTAACCAGTCTTATATTCTCACTTGGTAACCAGTCTTGTAGTGAAAAGTAACTATGGTAACCAGTCTTATATTCTCACTTGGTAACCAGTCTTGTAGTGAACAGTAACTATGGTAACCAGTCTTATATTCTCACTTGGTAACCAGTCTTGTAGTGAACAGTAACTATGGTAACCAGTCTTATATTCTCACTTGGTAACCAGTCTTGTAGTGAACAGTAACTATGGTAACCAGTCTTATATTCTCACTTGGTAACCAGTCTTCTAGTGAACAGTAACTATGGTAACCAGTCTTATATTCTCACTTGGTAACCAGTCTTGTAGTGAACAGTAACTATGGTAACCAGTCTTATATTCTCACTTGGTAACCAGTCTTGTAGTGAAAAGTAACTATGGTAACCAGTCTTATATTCTCACTTGGTAACCAGTCTTGTAGTGAACAGTAACTATGGTAACCAGTCTTATATTCTCACTTGGTAACCAGTCTTGTAGTGAACAGTAACTATGGTAACCAGTCTTATATTCTCACTTGGTAACCAGTCTTCTAGTGAACAGTAACTATGGTAACCAGTCTTATATTCTCACTTGGTAACCAGTCTTGTAGTGAACAGTAACTATGGTAACCAGTCTTATATTCTCACTTGGTAACCAGTCTTGTAGTGAAAAGTAACTATGGTAACCAGTCTTATATTCTCACTTGGTAACCAGTCTTGTAGTGAACAGTAACTATGGTAACCAGTCTTATATTCTCACTTGGTAACCAGTCTTGTAATGAACAGTAACTATGGTAACCAGTCTTATATTCTCACTTGGTAACCAGTCTTGTAGTGAAAAGTAACTATGGTAACCAGTCTTATATTCTCACTTGGTAACCAGTCTTGTAGTGAAAAGTAACTATGGTAACCAGTCTTATATTCTCACTTGGTAACCAGTCTTGTAGTGAACAGTAACTATGGTAACCAGTTTTATATTCTCACTTGGTAACCAGTCTTGTAGTGAAAAGTAACTATGGTAACCAGTCTTATATTCTCACTTGGTAACCAGTCTTGTAGTGAACAGTAACTATGGTATCCAGTTTTATATTCTCACTTGGTAACCAGTCTTGTAGTGAACAGTAACTATGGTAACCAGTCTTATATTCTCACTTGGTAACCAGTCTTGTAGTGAACAGTAACTATGGTAACCAGTCTTATATTCTCACTTGGTAACCAGTCTTGTAGTGAACAGTAACTATGGTAACCAGTCTTATATTCTCACTTGGTAACCAGTCTTGTAGTGAAAAGTAACTATGGTAACCAGTCTTATATTCTCACTTGGTAACCAGTCTTGTAGTGAACAGTAACTATGGTAACCAGTCTTATATTCTCACTTGGTAACCAGTCTTGTAGTGAACAGTAACTATGGTAACCAGTTTTATATTCTCACTTGGTAACCAGTCTTGTAGTGAACAGTAACTATGGTAACCAGTCTTATATTCTCACTTGGTAACCAGTCTTCTAGTGAACAGTAACTATGGTAACCAGTCTTATATTCTCACTTGGTAACCAGTCTTGTAGTGAACAGTAACTATGGTAACCAGTCTTATATTCTCACTTGGTAACCAGTCTTGTAGTGAACAGTAACTATGGTAACCAGTCTTATATTCTCACTTGGTAACCAGTCTTGTAGTGAACAGTAACTATGGTAACCAGTCTTATATTCTCACTTGGTAACCAGTCTTGTAGTGAACAGTAACTATGGTAACCAGTCTTATATTCTCACTTGGTAACCAGTCTTATAGTGAACAGTAACTATGGTAACCAGTCTTATATTCTCACTTGGTAACCAGTCTTCTAGTGAACAGTAACTATGGTAACCAGTCTTATATTCTCACTTGGTAACCAGTCTTGTAGTGAACAGTAACTATGGTAACCAGTCTTATATTCTCACTTGGTAACCAGTCTTGTAGTGAACAGTAACTATGGTAACCAGTCTTATATTCTCACTTGGTAACCAGTCTTGTAGTGAACAGTAACTATGGTAACCAGTCTTATATTCTCACTTGGTAACCAGTCTTGTAGTGAAAAGTAACTATGGTAACCAGTCTTATATTCTCACTTGGTAACCAGTCTTGTAGTGAACAGTAACTATGGTAACCAGTCTTATATTCTCACTTGGTAACCAGTCTTGTAGTGAACAGTAACTATGGTAACCAGTCTTATATTCTCACTTGGTAACCAGTCTTGTAGTGAACAGTAACTATGGTAACCAGTCTTATATTCTCACTTGGTAACCAGTCTTGTAGTGAACAGTAACTATGGTAACCAGTCTTATATTCTCACTTGGTAACCAGTCTTGTAGTGAACAGTAACTATGGTAACCAGTCTTATATTCTCACTTGGTAACCAGTCTTGTAGTGAACAGTAACTATGGTAACCAGTCTTATATTCTCACTTGGTAACCAGTCTTGTAGTGAACAGTAACTATGGTAACCAGTCTTATATTCTCACTTGGTAACCAGTCTTGTAGTGAACAGTAACTATGGTAACCAGTCTTATATTCTCACTTGGTAACCAGTCTTGTAGTGAACAGTAACTATGGTAACCAGTCTTATATTCTCACTTGGTAACCAGTCTTGTAGTGAAAAGTAACTATGGTAACCAGTCTTATATTCTCACTTGGTAACCAGTCTTGTAGTGAACAGTAACTATGGTAACCAGTTTTATATTCTCACTTGGTAACCAGTCTTGTAGTGAACAGTAACTATGGTAACCAGTCTTATATTCTCACTTGGTAACCAGTCTTGTAGTGAACAGTAACTATGGTAACCAGTCTTATATTCTCACTTCGTAACTAATCTTATATATTCTCAGACTCAGAGCGCTGATATAGTTTTAAAATAAACCTTTCCCGAAGAACGCATCCCCGATGTTCGCACAGAGAAGAACCAAGAGACAGCCGGGAACCACGTACTTTATACAGAACCCGAACATAACGGACACTTTAGCTGGGCTCATGAAGGAGTCAAATTCTGAAATAATTTAGCATGTTACCATGGTTACTGTAATTTAGCGTTTATATAGATTTCCTCGTAGTGACCTAAATTTCGACGTCAACAATTTTCTCATTCTCAAAGAATAAATAAACAATTCAGAGACTCATTCTACCAGAATTAATTTTGTTACCATGGTTACTGCACATTCTACCATACCAGAATTGAAGGTGTTCGGAGCCCAGCGGTAAGATGGGGAACTATTAATCATTTTCCTGAGATTATCTGCTCCGTGCCAGCCAATCAGCGTCCAGAACGAGTTCCTGAAGAGTGGGTATAACCATGGTAACTATCGAACATGCTATTGTTAGTACAAACACACAGAACGAGTTCCTGAAGAGTGGGTATAACCATGGTAACTATCGAACATGCTATTGTTAGTACAAACACACAGAACGAGTTCCTGAAGAGTGGGTATAACCATGGTAACATCAAACATGCTATTGTTAGTACAAACACACAGAACGAGTTCCTGAAGAGTGGGTATAACCATGGTAACTATCAAACATGCTATTGTTAGTACAAACACACAGAACGAGTTCCTGAAGAGTGGGTATAACCATGGTAACTATCAAACATGCTATTGTTAGTACAAACACACAGAACGAGTTCCTGAAGAGTGGGTTTAACCATGGTAACTATCAAACATGCTATTGTTAGTACAAACACACAGAACGAGTTCCTGAAGAGTGGGTATAACCATGGTAACTATCAAACATGATATTGTTAGTACAAACACACAGAACGAGTTCCTGAAGAGTGGGTATAACCATGGTAACTATCAAACATGCTATTGTTAGTACAAACACACAGAACGAGTTCCTGAAGAGTGGGTATAACCATGGTAACTATCAAACATGCTATTGTTAGTACAAACACACAGAACGAGTTCCTGAAGAGTGGGTATAACCATGGTAACTATCGAACATGCTATTGTTAGTACAAACACACAGAACGAGTTCCTGAAGAGTGGGTATAACCATGGTAACTATCAAACATGCTATTGTTAGTACAAACACACAGAACGAGTTCCTGAAGAGTGGGTATAACCATGGTAACTATCGAACATGCTATTGTTAGTACAAACACACAGAACGAGTTCCTGAAGAGTGGGTATAACCATGGTAACTATCAAACATGCTATTGTTAGTACAAACACACAGAACGAGTTCCTGAAGAGTGCGTATAACCATGGTAACTATCAAACATGCTATTGTTAGTACAAACACACAGAACGAGTTCCTGAAGAGTGCGTATAACCATGGTAACCTACCATTGTTGCTATTGTTACTTCGTTACTATCTGGTTACTATAGCTCTATAGTAAAGTCAAATAAAAGGAGATTAACTTCTGAACAAGCTGATCGATTGGGAACCAGCTTTGTTTGCTGGTTAATGTTTACTCAAGAATTTATACATACAATAATATAAAATAGTCATATACCTAAATCTGCTAATAATATTAATAATATAAAATCAAAATAACTATAAGAATAATATACACCGCACGAAATTATGGACCTGAAAGTAAGATTAAATACTTCAGCTTAATTTCAAAAACAAACCAAAACAAGATTCTAGAAGACTGACACATGAGTCTTGTGTTGAAAGACGAATATGATTTAAAAGCTTATCAAAAAATTAAAATCTTAGCGAACCAAGAATTCATAAATCCAAACAAAACTCTGTCATTTCAAACAACAATTTTGTCAACACTAAACACTTTGCCTCCTTTGATGAAGTGTCTCTTATCTGGCTCCTCGTTCGATCTCTTCTTGAGTTCTAAAACAAGCTTTTGCTGTTGGGCACGTTCCTCTGGAGACCTATCTGGACCGATAAAGACTTTACCGAAAAGTTTCGAGCTGTAGTCAAAATCTGCCGCACGATTGTGGAGCTCGTCAAAGTCACCTTAACAAATGTATCAGCCACTTGTTTCTTATCCTTGGGTTTATTCAATACAATACAAAACAATACAATACAAACCAATTCTGCTAGCTTCTATTTTTCCAACAACACTTGACCGACCTTGTCACATAACAGCTCACCTTTTTCTTCTTTAAGACCAAATAACATCACATTCCGACTTCGGTCTCCTTCTGCAACAACATCCTTAATGACATTCTTCAAAATATTTCTATCCGGATCCAACGAACAAAGGACCTGCTGCTGAGGTTTTTGAATCCTGTACACTCCTGATAAGATAGTTTAGCGTGTTGCCATGGTAACTATTGTCCCCTGACTGTCAATTACGTCGAACTGATAGTTCTGATTATATTTCTCCATCTCATTAGTGTACAACAATTGTCTATTCTTAACTTTTAACGCTGCCTCAAGACTCCTAGACATGACTTTCCTGGAGATTTCTCGTTTACCATTGAAGCTCTGAACTGTATACTTGTTAACATGTTCTGCTTTAGCGAGCCTGAGAGTATCCCGGATCCATTCAGCTCCATCATCTCTCACTTCATCAAGCTTATAAGCCACGTATTTCTCAGATTTATACATCACACAACCACGGCACCGGTTAAACAAGCAAGTCTTATCAACGTAATGATAAGTAACTGATAAGCGAGCAACAACGTATTGAAAAGTGTAATTACTGAACTGAACATATTGAAAAGTGTAATTACTGAAGTGAACGTATTGTAAAGTGTAATTACTGAACTGAAAATTGAAAAGTGTAATTACTGAACTGAAGCTAACAGTTACACGTTGTTTAGTGTCTCACCCGCATTGATTTCACTCTCTTATTGTTTACTATACTATAATTAGTAATTACTATTATTACTAATTACTAATTACTAATTACTAATTACTAATTACTAATTACTAATTACTAATTACTAATTACTGTAATTACTCTAGTAGCAGTGTAACTCTACTACTAGAGTTATTACAGTCCTGCCTGAATGAAATACTAACTTGTTGTCTTTACTTCTGTGTAATAAGAACTGGGTATAGTATAAATGGTACAAGACATCAGGAGTGTACAGTAACCATGGTAACATCTAGCCATTTAATCCTTACCTCTTAGTTTTTCTGACTTTGTTCTTGTCCATGAGAACATATGCAGCTGCAAAAGACCCAACAAGAATAGCGGCAGCTAAAGAGAAAGCGATCGTTACACTTTTTTCGGTTGAGTGCCCTTGCGCAGTCAATGAGAGACCTGAGTAGTAGTACAGTCGTTTCACGTGTTAGTTTCCCTGGTAACACGTGTTAGTTTCCATGGTAACACGTGTTAGTTTCCATGGTAACACGCGTTAGTTTCCATGGTAACACGTGTTAGTTTCCATGGTAACACGTGTTAGTTTCCATGGTAACACGTGTTAGTCTCCATGGTAACACGTGTTAGTTTCCCTGGTAACACGTGTTAGTTTCCATGGTAACATGTGTTAGTTTCCATGGTAACACGTGTTAGTTTCCATGGTAACACGTGTTAGTCTCCATGGTAACACGTGTTAGTCTCCATGGTAACACGTGTTAGTTTCCATGGTAACACGTGTTAGTCTCCATGGTAACACGTGTTAGTTTGGTAACACGTGTTAGTTTCCATGGTAACACGTGACAAATGTTACTTACTTAGTAGATCAGGGATAAAATATGTTTGAATTAAACATAAATTAAACTTTAATACGATAACACAGTTAGAACTAGTTTCGCAGTTTTTATTTATATAATTAGTTTTAGCTTGATTGGTGTAAAAGGCGCTACAAGGGTGCAGGCCCCCGTTAGTTCTAACCGACTATAGAGGGAACAAGGACACTCAGGAAACACCCCAAGTTGAATACCACAACTGCAGGAACTCCTACTCGGCGATATTGTCTGTCTATTTTGTAGATCCATCCCACTGCAACACTCTGTACAAACCCTAGATAGAACAAAACCCACCTCCTCATGTAGTGATCTGATAGAGGGGTCATAGAGGGGTTATAGAGGGGTCATAGAGGGGTCATAGAGGGGTTGTAGAGGGGTCATAGAGAGGTCATAGAGGGGTCATAGAGGGGTTGTAGAGGGGTTGTAGAGGGGTTATAGAGGGGTTATAGAGGGGTTGTAGAGGGGTTATAGAGGGGTCATAGAGGGGTCATAAAGGGGTTATAGAGGGGTCATAGAGGAGTCATTAGAGGGGTCATAGAGGGGTCATAAAGGGGTCATAGAGGGGTCATAGAGGGGTTGTAGAGGGGTCATAAAGGGGTCATAAAGGGGTTATAGAAGGGTCATAGCGGGGTTGTAGAGGTGTCATAACGGGGTTGTATAGGGGTCATAAAGGGGTCATAGAGGGGTTGTATACTGTAGAGGGGTTATAGAGGGGTTGTATACTGTAGAGTGTAGAGGGGTTATAGAGGGGTTGTATACTGTAGAGTGTAGAGGGGTTATAGAGGGGTTGTATACGGGTCATAGAGGGGTTGTATACTGTAGAGGGGTTATAGAGGGGTTGTATACTGTAGAGTGTAGAGGGGTTATAGAGGGGTTATATACGGGTCATAGAGGGGTTGTAGAGGGGTCATAGAACTGACAGTTTTATACCTGGTAAACAAATGAAGGTAGATATTAACGAGTGATTGACGGTACCATTTCATCTCTTTTCAGACAATCCTCTTGTAGCAAATATATAAAAGTACCTAGAATCTCCAGCCAGCTAGAACCACAGTCAAATGTAAAGGGTATTCCCAGCAGGAACCCAGCCATACACACGTAACATGCTATAGTGCTCCTTCCCAGCTCCAAACTAGGGGGATTAACAGGTTACTAGGTTACTAGGTTACTAGGTTACTAGGTTACTAGGTTACTGCGTTACTGGGTTACTAGGTTACTAGGTTATTAGGTTATTAGGTTACTAGGTTACTAGGTTACTAGGTTACTAGGTTACTAGGTTACTAAGTTACTAGGTTACTAGGTTACTAGGTTACTAGGTTACTAGGTTACTAGGTTACTAGGTTACTAGGTTACTAGGTTACTAGGCTACTAGGTTACTAGGTTATTCACCTGCTTGATATCCAGCTGTCCCTGATAACAGTGCAGAATCCCTCTATCAGAGAAAAGGACGTGGTCAGAGTTAGGATAGCGAGGGTTCCGTAGAACAGAGCTGACCAGAGGGTCGGGGCTGATAAGTGAGACAGCGCGTCTGCGTACACCTGGGGCAGTGACGTCATAATAGTGACGTCATACTATGCGCAATGACGTCACACTTACGTATATACTATACTTATAGTGACGTTAGACAAGTTTTAAAGAATGCAGTGAGACCATCATTATAACCCATTTATTTCTCTGATTGTTTTTTATTGAACGCTTCAACAAATCTATGTTTGACTAAAGCGGTTCAGTATTGTAACAAGCCTCCTCCTAAATTCAATTAGCATTAATTTTCAGAATCCTTTGTTTTAATTCACTCAATACAGTCTATTGAAACTTATAAACTGTAGAGAATGTAAGAGTAAGGTTCGGATTTCGTTTTCTTTGTGTTATATATTTTACCTCTTTGTGCTGATGATAGTAAGGAATATCACTATATGCTCCGATTCGCATGGGCAACACCTAATAGCTCTCTTAAAATAGAGTTCCACTTAATGTTATAGTTCCTTATATAATAAAGCTCTGCTTTAAAAACCTGAAATTGCTTCTTCTAACGCCGACACAGCTGGTTCCCGTCAGATTAAATAGAGGACATGCGAATGACAGGACGTAACACGTGTTAGTTTCCATGGTAACACGTGACAAATGTTACTTACTTAGTGACCATGAAAGTCACGTGTTCCGTATTTATTATTGAAGCGTAAGGTTATCTGTTACTGGGTTGCTAGGTTACTAGGTTATCGTCTTCCCTCATGATCCGATAATAGTTTTATAAACGACCGGAGCAGAGATAAAGATACCATTGTCACGTGTTACCATGGAAACTAACGTGTCGGGGATAAAGATTACCAAACGTGACCCAGCCTTGGTGTTACTGTTACGGGCTAAAGTAATTAATAGCTTATACTTCAAGAAGCTGCATCTGTATCAGCTTTAGTTCAATGTGTGTTTTGGCTAAGCCTGCTTTTAGTTAAACTTCCCCTGTGAAATTGCCGACCTTAACCCAGACTTTTGCACCTGGCAAAAACCTGTCGCAATACACAGAATGCGTGCAGGAATAAATCGTAACAAAACATGGGTCTATGCCGGTCTATGCAAAGCATTCACGCTTGAAAGTTTCCTTGGTAATACGTGTTAGTTTCCATGGTAACACGTGACAAATGTTAATTACAAATGATTCGGCAGATTCTCTTCCGCTGGAGACTTTCAAAGTTTGTATAAGGAGAGTTTGTACTCGCACAATGTTTTTCAGGGCTCCTTTTCAGGGCTCGTTACTAGTATAGCTCGTTATTAGTATAGCTCGTTACTAGTATAGCTCGTTATTAGAATAGCTCGTTACTGGGTTTATTGGCAGTTTCTTATATCCATACGTTCTTAACGGTATTGATAATCTTTTCTTCTGGTCAAACCATAACATAAAGAAGAAACCTTTAGATGTTTTTCTGATTAAGTTAAAGCTGGGTAAGCTGCCGCAAGCTTCATTGAATTCAGCATCGTTTGAGTAAAGTCTGCCAGTATAGCTTGTTACTAGTACTGAACTTTCTAAAATTAACAAGTCTAGCATCTCAACAGACCCTTGCACCTGCTGCTGTCAAAATATGTCGGATCAGGCTATGTCTAGATATGACTTACAGAATATTTTTTCCATCCACCTTTTTTTAAAAAGTGAAAGGTTTCGAAGGTTAATTCTTGTTATACTTGAAATTATATTTGAATATCGACCGAATTATTAGTTTATCAGTTTGTTAAATGCAAATCCTTTGTTGTTGTATATGTCCCTCGGTTAATCTAAATGTATATTGTAATCTAATGATCCTCATCTTTTTATCAGACAGCCAGATGATCCTAAAGACAGTTACAGAGCCTCCAGAGCTGCAGTTTAACAGTGTATTTGACAGTGTTTACGGAGCAGTGTGCTGCTTGTGTTTTACAGTAGGAATAGTGGGGAACATCACCAGCTACCTCTACTTCAGATCCAAGAAGAGGGACATCTCCAACACTGTCTACCAGTTCATCACACTGAACGACAGTATTATCAGTCTCACCGTGCTCCCTGTCGGTGTCTCCTTCCTCTCTGGCAGATCGCCAGGATTCCTCCTCGCTAGCCACGTGGGCTGCTCTACCTGGTTCTACGTGTGGGGGGTTTCTGTCAGACTCAGTATCTTCCTGGTGGTCTGCCTCTGTTCCTCTAGAACCTACTCCCTCATCCGACCTTTCACTACTCAGAAGATCTGGCCTATACACCTTCTCGTCACCTCCTACTTCCTCCTACAAGTTGGACAGTTAGCAGGGTTCCACGTGCTGCGCGGCACTGTGATAAAGTACGCACGTGACACCGCGCGATGCGAACTGTTACTGATGACGCAGCCACCAGATCCGCTGCCTGATGAGACCGTACTGTTGCTTCTGGAGATATGTATGATATTCACATATGTAGTTCCAGTGTTTGTGGTGCTTATCAGCTGTGTTCTCTCTGTGTTTGCTATCCTGCTGTACAAGAGAGGAGGAGGAGCCCAGAGAGCGCTCCGCCAGTCCCGACACAAAGCCACTGTCACAATCCTGCTGTTCGCTGTTCTTTACGGGGTGTGCAACGTGCCTATAGTCGTGAAGCTCATTATACAGACCTACACAGTGCACACTCGTGGTGATTACAATGATTTCTACGAGTTTGACACGTGGCCGTTCAGGTACTACCATAACGCTACCTGGACCTTGCTCCTGGCTGTGAACTCTGCTGTGAACCCTGTACTCTACTTGTGGAGGATGTGTGCTCTCAGGAGACACACAGTGGCTTATGTGAGGTGGCTGCTGTTCGGGGAGCCTGTTCGGAGGGTTTCTACTAGTCAGGGCACCGCTTTCTTTAATCAGAGGTTGATGTACACTCTGGAGAGTGAGGCTAATATTGTGGTTAGAAACACGACGTGTTGTGCTGTACCACGTGCAGCACCCTCTCAGAGTATTCAGCGAATTGACACGTGCAGCATCATCTCAGAGTATTCAGTGAATTGACACGTGCAGCATCATCTCAGAGTATTCAGTGAATTGACACGTGCAGCATCATCTCAGAGTATTCAGTGAATTTACACGTGCAGCATCATCTCAGAGTATTCAGTGAATTGACACGTGCAGCATCATCTCAGAGTATTCAGTGAATTGACACGTGCAGCATCATCTCAGAGTATTCAGTGAATTTACACGTGCAGCATCATCTCAGAGTATTCAGTGAATTGACACGTGCAGCATCATCTCAGAGTATTCAGTGAATTGACACGTGCAGCATCATCTCAGAGTATTCAGTGAATTGACACGTGCAGCATCATCTCAGAGTATGCAGGCGGCACTTTCTTAATAGGATACGTTGAAGATTTAATGTTATGAAACGATCAACGTCAAAGAGAATTTCATGAACCTAAGTAGTTTTTTGAAATACCTCCTCGATAACATCATGGCAGGTTACATTATGACTGTTAAAATATGGCGGGATGGCCCAAGCCAAACAAAACCGCCAATTTGAAACCACCATAATATTTACGAGTAAGATTAGCAATATTGATTAGAATTTACAATGCTCACGATCATTGTTAAAACGCTTTTTTGAAGTTTGCAATATGGTTTTGAAAACTTTTGGCAAATTAACAAATTTGTCGTTCGGTCAATATTATGTTGGTGACATCATATTTGAGATATTTTGCTTATTATTTAAGATATTGGCTGCAAGGTTTACTGAATGTTTATACTCTATGCGCAATTAGCGTCCAAGGAGGAGGCTAAAGTCGATATTAGGTCAGTTTTATATAAGTTGACACCTGGTTTGCTTTTCATTCTTTTGTCCAAATATTGAATAGATTTCATTCCCAAAAAAGAAGAAACTTTTGTTTGAATTCCCCTCCCTGTACTCATAATAACTCACCAGCTTTATAACTTGATACTTCCCTCCCAGTACTCATAATGACTCACCAGCTTTATAACTTGATACTCCCCCTCCCTGTACTCATAATGACTCACCAGCTTTATAACTTGATACTCCCCTCCCAGTACTCATAATGACTCACCAGCTTTATAACTTGATACTCCCCTCCCAGTACTCATAATGACTCAACAGCTTTATAACTTGATACTCCCCCTCCCAGTACTCATAATGACTCACCAGCTTTATAACTTGATACTCCCCCTCCCAGTACTCATAATGACTCACCAGCTTTATAACTTGATACTCCCCTCCCAGTAGTCATAATGACTCACCAGCTTTATAACTTGATACTCCCCTCCCAGTACTCATAATGACTCACCAGCTTTATAACTTGATACGGTATATTATTGATAAAACCTAACTTTTGTCCCTCCGAAACTGGGCCGATACGGTATATTACCCACTCTATGCGTTTACCGGGGAACCAACCCCCCCCCCCGCTAGTAACTCCAACAATGATCATCAGATGATGATAGGATAATGGCCGTGAACAATTAGCTTTGTTATATTACAACTGTAAGCTCCCTGAACAATGTTTCAATATAACAATGTTACTGCATAATAAGTTATAATGATAAGTTATGATTTATAATGCTTGGTTACTAGGTTACATAACTCGCTCAGTTACTATGGAAACAGACTCGCTTGGCTGGTTCAATTGTACCTCCCTATCGCAACACAACTCACTAATGCACGTGATAAAATCAGAGACTGGAACACCTGAGAATCACAACAACAAAACAATTGTTACTATAAATACGTTCACAAAGTTATCTCACAACTGCTGCACGAATAGGGAATATTGCACGTGAGCCTGAGCCTGTTACCATAGTAACGTGAGCCTGATAGTTAATAACAGCTGTCAAGTGGGGGACAGTGCACGGCCAGCTGTAAAGAGTGAAAGCTAAGATATTCATACTTTATAACGATTAGTAAGTCGCTAAGTAGTGAGATATTGTTGACTTGTTAAGCTGCTATAATAGTGCTAAGTATTGAGATATTGTTGACTTGTTACTATGGAAACAGACTCGCTATAATAGTGGCTACTCTCACAACTCTTGTATTAAATGGACGACTTCTCCCGTCCTCTAGACCTGCTGTACGGACTCACAGCACTAACTTGCTGTTTAGTTGGTTTCCCTGGCAACTGCTTTGCAGCAAGACACTTCTACTTGAAGAAGAGGGACGGTGTTCAACTGAACCACCTGCTGATATCCCTGAACGATGGGTTGGTGTGTTTTATAGTGTTTCCCACTGCAGTGTCCTACTTAACACACAGAGACGCAGGGTTGCTAGCTTTCTCTCCTGTCTGCTACACCTGGGCAACTCTCTACTTCGTTACCATGAGAACGGCTGTCTTCCTCACTATGGTCCTCAGTATCACCAGGACCCTCTCCCTGATGTTTCCCTTCAGACCACCCTCTAAGAGGGCACCTCTTGTTGCGTTTAGTGTGTTTGTAACGTTTCTAGCTGCTCAGCTAGTGGTTACACAGTGGTGGGGTTCAGAGCAGAGCATAGCACTTACTTAGTGGGATGCGTGTGGAGTGGTAACCATAGTGACCCAGCACTCCGCTCTAAAGCCCTCTATCTGGAAGTCTCTATGATCCTGACTTATGTGCTGCCAGTTGTGTTTGTAACTGTTGGCTGTGTAATCTCTACATCAGTGCTGCTCAGCTGCAGTAGTGTTGCTGGAAACGTTACCCACCACAGGAAACGCAGAGCTAACAGGACAATCGTTATCTTCACTGCTATCTACCTTGTCTTCACACACTGTCTCTGTCATATTACAAACTGTGGGTGTCCACTCTGACTGGAGAGTTAACCTCCTTCAGTTCGATTATTCAAACCCTCCTTACTTGTTCTACTTTAAGAACTATGTTACCGTTATCAGCACTACTCTTAACTCTGCTATTAACCCTATAGTGTACTTGTGGAGGTTCTCTGACTATGGAAACAGACTCAGTTACTATGGAAACAGACTCAGTTACTATGGAAACAGACTCAGTTACTATGGTAACAGACTCAGTTACTATGGTAACAGACTCGGAGCCTCAAGACAGAGACTCAGCCAGATACTGACTCGAACTGTATCTATCTAAATAGAAATATCACCTAGCTACAAGTTCCTTATTCTTACAGGAGCAATCATCCATGAAACATTTCCGGTCTGAGTGGCTGCAAAGAAGATAATATATCAAGTATCATGATCAATATAAATAATATCCACGCAGCCTGTTACCATAGTAACGCAGCCTAGCTAGTGACTACAGTTGCTCTCACCTTGAAGAGGAGGTGTATTCCATTAGAATCAAATATCTGATCACAAGGAACAAGATCCTGCATCTTGCACGTGTGAGCCTTGTGTCCCAGCACCAGGTAAATAACAGCTCCTCCCAGCACAGACACCACTAGATCCACCAGACAGATTATATTCTTATCTGAGTGTAGTTACTAGGTTACTAGTGTAGTTACTAGGTTACTAGTGTAGTTAACTAGTAACTACACTATAACCAGACAGATTATATTCTTATCTGAGCGGTGATATTGAGATAAACGTCAACGTTTAGAGTTTGTTGAATTATTCGGACAGAAAATGAGATTTATTTTTGAGTGATGTAGATATCATTTTCTTGAACAACGGCAGTAGAATCCACATTTTAAAATAGATACTGTCCCATTTTGTTTTAACTAACCTATAGCTATATTCTGAGAGCGGGGGTTGAAGGAGGCGTAAGACGTCATTACTCCTAAACACACTGTCAGAGTGTACAACACCTGACCTGAAACAGTACATTAGTAACCTAGTAACATAGTAACCTAGTAACATAGTAACCCAGTAACCCAGTAGTAACCTAGTAACATATTAACCTAGTAACCTAGTAACCTAGTAACCTAGTAACCCAGTGACCTAGTAACCTAGTAACCTAGTAACCTAGTAACCTAGTAACCTAGTAACCTAGTAACCCAGTAACCCAGTAACCCAGTAACCCAGTAACCCAGTAACCCAGTAACCTAGTAACCCAGTAACCTAGTAACTTAGTAACCCAGTAACACAGTAACCTAGTATCCTAGTTACCTAGTAACCCAGTAACCCAGTAACCTAGTAACCCGGTAAACTAGTAACCTAGTAACCTAGTAACCTAGTAACCTAGTAACCTAATAACCCAGTAACCCAGTAACCTAGTAACCTAGTAACCTAGTAACTTAGTAACCTAGTAACCTAGTAGCATAGTAACCCAGTAACCTAGTAACCCAGTAACCCAGTAGTAACCTAGTAACATATTAACCTAGTAACCTAGTAACCTAGTAACCTAGTAACCTAGTAACCCAGTAACCTAGTAACCCAGTAACCTAGTAACCCAGTAACCCAGTAGTAACCTAGTAACATATTAACCTAGTAACCTAGTAACCTAGTAACCTAGTAACCCAGTAACCTAGTGACCTAGTAACCTAGTAACCTAGTAACCTAGTAACCTAGTAACCTAGTAACCTAGTAACCCAGTAACCTAGTAACCTAGTAACCCAGTAACCTAGTAACCTAGTAACCTAGTAACCTAGTAACCCAGTAACCTAGTAACCCAGTAACCTAGTAACCTAGTAACCTAGTAACCCAATAACCTAGTAACCTAGTAACCTAGTAACAGTGCTCCACTTACTAGTGGCATCGGACCAGACATCAGTATTAGCTAGCTTTGTTGAGTTCCACTGAACCAAGTATTTCTCAAATCCGTCAACGGCTCCGTCTAGGAAAACTGCCCTGTGTGAAATTTTCTTCTTTAGTGGGCTGGGTCTACGCAGCAAATAATTGAAAATAGGTGGTTAAATATATATATATATATATGTATATATGCTCGATCAGTTCCATAGTATTAATTTAAAAGTAATCTATATAAAGCTAAAGCTATAAGAACTGTTACTAACCTAACAGTAACTCCTATAAGAACTGCTACTGGTAAAGCTATAAGAACTGTTACTAACCTAACAGTAACTCCAATAAGAACTGCTACTGGTAAAGCTATAAGAACTGTTACTAACCTAACAGTAACTCCAATAAGAACTGCTACTGGTAAAGGCGCCAGTATCTTCACCACAGCCCCAATACTCCGGAGTGACCGGAAAACACAGAAGAAGACGAGAAACCAGCAGATTATCACAGCAAGAAGTACTCTTCCACTTACAACCATGCTGCTGTCTGATATTGTAGTGTTCTGAAGTGTTAGTGGGCTGGGTTACCTAGTAACCTAGTTACCTAGTAACCTAGTTACCTAGTAACCTAGTAACCTAGTAACCTAGTAGTGATCTTGATAACAAATAAGATTACCTTGAGAACGTAATCAGTGATAAAGTTGTCCACCCCTTCATCTTGCCACGGCACCTTGTTGTTGATCGGATCGAAACTTTTAACAAAGTAAATCCCACTCCAGCCGAGCACTATAACATTGTAGACGGCTACAATAAACCCTCCAATAACAGTGGCTACTCCTACTCCCCGTAATCTGGGATTCAGGTTCCCAAACGCTTCAACTGCTCCTCCTACACATGTTAGGTTTATCAGAGCGGAGAGTAGGGTTACTATGGTTACTATGGTAACTCTGGTTACAACACAATCAAACTGCTCTCATCACTGAATGTTCATTATCTCCTTAGAAATAGATATAACTTTGATATTTACCTTGAAACATTTGACCTATAGTTAGCTCCACGGTTAAAAGTGGCATCCCTATCAAAACCAAAGCCAAAACGTACGGTATCAGGAAGGTAAATCCACCGTGTTTACTGAAATATAGCGTTATTTTCCGGAGGGGGGGGGGGGGGGGGGGGTTGTACCTGAATTCCCAAAAATTTGGGCGACAAAAAATTTGAGCGGGCCTCTCGCCCAAATTTTTTGCAGACCAAATTAATTGCATAAATCTTTTCCGTCTGCTAAATTTTTTGCTAACCAAACTTTTGGCATTTGGCCTGTGGCCCTGAAATCTATAGAAAGATGGCTTTTTCTTCATATCCAAGTGAAATAATATTTGAAATTTGAGTTTTCTAATCTGTCATTCATGGCTTGACCAAGTAAAAAGGCTTATATTTTAAATGAATAGAAATAACTGGAATAGCTAACAGCTACTAATAAAACAAATGGCTAGAGTTACGGATAGCTAGAGATTTAAACAAGATCTGCAAATGGATTATCATCCACCGTAAAGTCTGATCTACAAGCATCAGTTATACCCGACTTCTCAAAGCCTTTCCTTATGTCATCTGGCCTCCCTTTTAAATATACAAAAAGTTCGTTGATCCAACGAGCGTGTACTTCACGGATCACTGTCAAGCGGGTATCAATTTTCACATTGTCTGATGAAACTCCTCCATTGAGCTGACACACTATGTTTTTCGCGTACCAATCTTCGTACTTATTGCGCATGAATTTCTTAGCCAGTTCATTGATAGATATGTCCAGGGGCTGTAGATGATGTGGGGAAGAAGGATTTTCTCAAAGAACTGGACACTGGTCAGGGTATTAGAAAGCAAAATGACTGGAATAATAAGGAATAATAATGAACTAAGGCAAATAACTTACTGAAATTTTAGTGGAAAATCGTTCATTTTTCGAAGAATTTGTGCCCAAATTTTCGGTCGCCCAAATGAGTTCAAATTTTCTGCCCAAATTTTTCGGGCTCAAATAAATTGTGCTCAATATAATGGCACACAAATTTTTGGGATTTAAGGTATATTATTTTAACCAGCGATTCATTCACCCCTGAATATTATTACATATTAGGTATTGTTACCATGGCATCCAGTTAGTTACTTACTTAACCAGATAAGGAAATTTCCACATGTTAGGTAGACTACAGGAAGCAGCTACAGAAGCGAACCAGAATGTAAGTTTACCAGCCCACCTATCCCGACTTTTCACCTGGGAAACAGTTGCTAGGTTACAGTTGCTAGGTTACACCTGGGAAGAGAATGTAAGTTTACCAGCCCACCTATCCCGACTTTTCACCTGGGAAACAGTTGCTAGGTTACAGTTGCTAGGTTACACCTGGGAAGAGAATGTAAGTTTACCAGCCTACCTATCCCGACTTTTCACCTGGGAAGAGAGCGAAATGTAAAAAGAAATAACTCTACTCATGTGTAAATGTAGTAACTGAAATTTATTAACTTATTATTGTAACATCTGGTCAAGTGTAACTTTATTGCTGATTAAGAAAGCAAAGATTAAGAAAGCAAAGTTAACTCACGTGAACAACAGATGGCAGCTCAAGAGGAGGTAGATTCTCAATAACCGGCAGATTCTCCAGTGAGAATGGGGACCTAGCGGGGGAAGGGGGCTCTGGTGAAGGAGTACTCATTTTAGGAGGAGGGGGAGGGGGAGTAGGAGGGGGAGTAGGAGGGGGAGTAGCTGGTTTAGGGGGAGGAGTAGCTGGTTTAGGGGGAGGGCTAGCTGGTTTAGGGGGAGGGCTAGCTGGTTTAGGGGGAGGAGTAGCTGGTTTAGGGGGAGGAGTAGCTGGTTTAGGGGGAGGGCTAGCTGGTTTAGGGGGAGGGCTAGCTGGTTTAGGGGGAGGGCTAGCTGGTTTAGGAGGGGGAGTAGCTGGTTTAGGGGGAGGGCTAGCTGGTTTAGGGGGAGGCGGTGTGGGGGTCCGGGTTTTTGGGGGAGGTGGTGTAGGGGTCCTTGGTTTCACTGGAGGCGGTGTAACCGGCTTTGGAGGCGGTGGAGTTGGTTTCGGAGGTGGTGGAGTTGAGGGTTTTGGAGGCGGTGTAGTTGAGGGTTTTGGTGTTACTTGAGTTTCCTGGTCCACAAGACACGGTGCAGTCGATGTTGCGGGAGCACTTGTTCTACTACTGCTCGAGCTACTACTACTGCTGCTGCTGGAGCTACTACTACTACTACTGCTGCTGCTGTTGCTCGAAGATTCTTCTGCGCTTGTCTTTTCGGTCTTTGTCCGGGAGCTTTTAGACCTTGAACTTTTAGATCTAGAACTTTTAGATCTAGAACTTTTAGACCTTGAACTTTTAGACCTTGAACTTTTAGATCTAGAACTTTTAGATCTAGATGTTTTCTCCTCGCTGCTGGAACTACTAGAACTGTCAGAAGAACTGCCCATGAAACACCCGTATTTTCACAGAGCGTATTTACAGAGCAAACGTAGACAATATTCAAATGTACAGGAAAGAAAACCGTGTGTTTACAGTTGTTGCCATGGTAACAATGTTTACACATCAAGATAGTTAGATGAGAGAGTGTAAGCTAAAAGATAATTACGTTTTTATCTTATACTTTTAGCAAAATGTTCCCTGGAGTCTGCAGACTTCATGGACAGTGGACACGTGGACACCCTGCATGAGCTGTGTCGGTGTTACCATGGCAACAGAAAGTTGTTTCGGTAATAATCATGTGATGATCCAACTATATTCCTAATGGGTACAGTTTAGGGTTAGTATAACAGATAGGGTAGGCAACTATATAATTTGTCCTAACCTAGAAGATGATGGACACGTGTTTTTTTATATCCAACAGCGGGCGTTGTTTCAAGCTTCACAGTTTCCACCATTCATAGCATCGATTTCGGACTTGAGTTGCAAATTTACCAGAAAATCCTGTTGCTAAACAGGGCAAAATTACTGGTTAGAACACAGTAGGGTGACTCACAAAAAACCGCTATCAAAAAATGTTTCAGCTTATTGTTCCATGTAAACTACACTGTTACTATGGTTACTATGTTCCATGTAAACGATCAAAATGCAGGCACTCACCACGAATGTGAGTGTACGCATCTATTACAGCTATACTACTATTACATAATTACAAGGACAGATTCGCAAAATAGGCTAAGTTTCTACTCGGAACACAATATTATAACAACAAGCGAAAATCCGGCCTAAATATAAAAAACAAATTCAGCATTCGTATTACATATTAAACGAATTGATGAACAGTTAACGAAAAGTTAATCGCTTAATCATATTATATATGTTAATCGCTTAATATCATAGACGCAGATTAAAAACTGTGTATCTCATGAATCAATCCAGACAAGGAGTCGCCAAGAATTTCTGTTGCCATGGTAACACATCAAATGTAGATTGCAAAATGATAATTGAGAGTTAATCTGTGAGTGTGACCGATCAAACGATCAATCTAGCTCAAACTATTTGCAAAAAGAGGTGCTCACCATGAATTAGTCAACTGTATTTAAACTGACTGTAATACAAATTGTAGGGGAGCAGTACTCTAGAGCGGGGGTCTCTAGAGTTCGCGAGTACTGCTCCCAAATTTTAGAACTACACAGTCCGTCTTACTCTAAATACCTTAGGTGGCATATTTTTTACAAATCAACAGACTGTGGTATAACCTGGTGGTTCAAATATCTATCCCCAGATTTCCCACCATCTTATACATTATATTATATGATAATAATATAATGTACGGTAGCAATAATTACAACTTTACAAAACATCAGCCCCAATTCAGCACCCTCAGGGTCGTACGAGACACGACAGAGTCTCCTGGCTCCGTAGCACATGTTTATTTAACTGTACATTTTATCTTCTATAAGATAGGAAATCATAAGAAAAGATAAGCTAAGGACACGGTTCGTGCGCGCGTTGTGATTGGTCGTTACCATGGCAACACTGCAATTGGTCGGCCTAGCGTCACGTGATAAGAAGAAACTTCACTGATTGGTCAATGGTCTGTTCATAACGTTACCATGGTGATCGGGGCGTCTGCCTGTTGTCCATAATAACACAGCCCTATTACGTTTCTGTTTTTATCTCTTGACAAATACGATGTGCCCTTCCTTTTTGCTCCGTTTTACGGTTGTCTGCTGAAATCGGATTTAATTTATTTCATCCCTTCCGTTTACTGTTTACAGAAAAACAGACTGGATGTCTGCTACATAACAGTATGTTTTGCGCTTTTCATTTTATTGTGCTAAATTATGCAGGATCATGTAATTCAAGTTATTAATGTGTAACCTAGCAACTGTAACCTAGCAACTGTAACCTAGCAACTGTAACCTAGCAACTGTAACCTAGCAACTGTAACCTAGCAACTGTAACCTAGCAACTGTAACTTAGCAACTGTAACCTAGCAACTGTAACATAGCAACTTTAACCTAGCAATAAGCAACTGTAACCTAGCAACTGTAACCTAGCAACTGTTTCCCAGGTGAAAAGTCTCCAGCTGAAGAATAATATCCACTCTAGTCAGAGACGAAACGGAATCTCGTTAGCTTTTCGTGTTAAAAGCGATTTCTCAACGGTTATCACCTCTCTAGATGATTCTTAAAACATTTGGACACTATTGCATTTTTGAAAAAAATGCAATAGTGGCGTTTTCGGCCACACCCTTTTTCAGGGTTTTGCGGTCAGTCGAATTTTTGTATTTCAGCCCAGGAAGGTCTTAAAGACTATTCCGATACTCCAAAATGTGCCTAATAGCCACATTTATATACAACTTATGAAGCAACATATACCTTAAAATGCTTCGTTTCGGAAATATGGCCGAAAAACGGTTTTTGGCTTGACGCAGTTCATAATTTCCGTGATTTTTGGCATTTCCGCCTAGGAAGGTCGTAGAGACTATTCTGATACACCAAAATGTACATAATGGCTACATTGATATACAACTTATGAAGCAACATATACCCTAAAAGGCTTATTTTCGGAAATATGGCTGAAAAACGGATTTTTGCTGAGCGAAAATAACAATATTCACAAATGGGCTATTGGACTGTTGTCTGTTAACTAGAAAGGTCTTAAAGACTCATGAGCAACATTTGTCACAAGATGTAAGATGACTCACTTTGTGTCCAGAAACTCCTACAAAAATTGGAGAATGATCTACTTTATTGAGCATCTTTCTTAATGGGCCAAGCCAGCAGCATATCTGTGTCTTACGAAAGGGCAATTTTTCAAAATTACGGTTTCTTAAGGTCAAAGGGTCGGCTGCTAACAGCAAATTGTTCGCAATTGCCGACTCATGCACCTCATATAGTTATACTGAAAAACGCTCACTTTAGGAGTCATCAGTAAATAAGTTTAACTACTGCATGATTTGTGAAAACTCCAACAATTAATTTTCATCGGCACCAATTTAGCCAAAATGTAATGACCAGAATTCAACTTTTGATTTATTTCCTGATTCCATGAAACCATGATATATACTAAGAATACCGGACCTAAAATAATTTGGCACTGGATCCGGGCCAGACTGTTGCTTGACCACTGACCAGTACCCCACTTTATAATTATAATTGACTTCACTGCCTCGACCGATATTGGTCTGTAATCCCTGGATTGAGATCTGTTGGCTGCAGTTTAATTTAGCTCATTTACCATAATAGTAATACTGCAGTGCAGTGGTTTGGTTCGCATATATTTTCCCATCGTATGATAATGTGTGTCATTCCCTCGTTTTTTTATGAATTGGTTACTGGCTGTCTCTTTTGTTGTTACAGCTGCCTCGACATCTTATCTAGGGCACTAATACATTAGTACTAGAACATTAGAACTGTAATTCTAGAACTTCAGATTAAGATTTCTTGGCCGAATGGCAGAGTTCGAGATTCGACTCTAAAACGTTCAGTTTAGGAGTGATAAGTAGATAACAACTGCATGGTATGGGAAAAATCCAACTAGTCAAGGATCATGCTGAATCAAAGTGTTCCTCGACTTGAACTTAAGTCTTGTAACCTACTGGAGTTTGGGCCACTGAACCGAATACGACCTGATATTAATTTTAGGATGTCGGGAAATTCATTAAGATTTTTATTCTTTGGTTTTTCAATTCTGCTACGAATCCGAGTTTGAGTTTATAACACCGAATTTCCTGTTTGACTCTCAAAAAGAGGAACCAAGGCTTACTGCTTAGGTTCCTCTTTTTGGCTCTGAGATCCAACTTTAAGATCGGACTTCGGAGATCCTCGCGTCGGAAATCATGTAAGTGTAACATCAGTACCGGAGATCAGACTTTTTTGCTTGATATTGGACCTTTAAATCTAATTATATATTCGAAACAGCACGGGAATTAAACAGGAATTAAATTAAACAGGAATTAAACATGCACGGGATGTAACCAAGGTTAAGTGAGATGAGATATACCAGCTTTCGGGGTTACAAAACCCCATGAAAGGCAGGCATAGCATCCTAAATCCTCAAGCTATCCTCACGTTGACCATCTAGGTCCAGACTCCAGCCTCTCATTAAAAACCAGCTATTAGGCCCGAGATCCGTAGTGTCCCGTAAGTAAGAGATCGTTCAGATTTTGATCCCCTCCCCGCTCTAAAGTCCACTTTACCCAAAGCTGGAAAAATTTCACATGTGAAACCTCAATAGCTAAATCAGCATCTCGAGACCTTCTATTATACAGGGTGGGCCAAAAGTCAGTACCCATACGTTGGGTCTTATACCTCCGCCGTGTTTTATATTTTAGAGTTGTTGCTTTGCAGATGGCATACTGTACCTACTTGTTCGAGGATATATATATATAGCCCATGCCCCAGATAAGATCTTGAGGCAGCTCACAGCTATAACAATAGAAGAACTAGCCAGTCACCACTTGATTAAAAAACGAGGGAATGACACGCAATATCATTATCATACGATGGGAAAATCTATGCGACTGAAAAAAAGAATATGTGGTCATTCTGAAGTGGGAACCAAACCACTGCAGTATTATAGGAAATTAGCTAAATTTAACTGCAGCCAACAGATCTCAATCCAGGGATTACAGACCAATATTGGTCGAGGCAGCGAAATCAATCATAATTATAAAGTAGGGTACTGGTCAGCGGTCAAGCAACAGTCTGGCCCGAATCCAGTGCCGATTTATTTTTGGCCCGGTATTCTTGGTACATATATCATGGTTTCATGGCACGAATAAATAAAAAGTTTGAAGTTGAATTTTGGTTTGGCACACATTCTATTTAAATCATGGTGCCAATGAAAATTAATTGTTGGAGTTTTCACAAATCATGCAGTAGTTAAACTTATTTACTGATGACTCCTAAAGTGAGCGTTTTTCAGTATAACTATATGAGGTGCATGAGTCGGCAATTGCAAACAATTTGCTGTTAGCAGCCGACCCTTTGACCTTAAGAAACCGTAATTTTGAAAAATTGCCCTTTCGTAAGACACAAATATGCTGCTGGCTTGGCCCATTAAGAGAGATGCCCAATAAAGTAGATCATTCTCCAATTTTTGTAGGAGTTTCTGGACACAAAGTGAGTCATCTTACATCTTGTGACTTTTGTTGCTCATGAGTCTTTAAGACCTTTCTAGTTAACAGTCCAATAGCCCATTTGTGAATATTGTCATTTTTCGCTCGGCAAAAATCCGTTTTTCAGCCACATTTCCGAAAATAAGCCTTTTAGGGTATATGTTGCTTCATAAGTTGTATATCAATGTAGCCATTATGTACATTTTGGTGTATCAGAATAGTCTCTACGACCTTCCTAGGCGGAAACGCCAAAAATCACGGAAATTATGAACTGCGTCAAGCCAAAAACCGTTTTTCGGCCACATTTCCGAAACGAAGCATTTTAAGGTATATGTTGCTTCATAAGTTGTATATAAATGTGGCTATTAGGCACATTTTGGTGTATCGGAATAGTCTTTAAGACCTTCCTGGGCTGAAATACAAAAATTCGACTGACCGCAAAACCCTGAAAAAGGGTGT